GGTCGCCTCCGTACTCAACTTAATACAGCCGAGAAAACCTCCACGACTTGAGCCCAAGTCAAAGTTGAGATGATGTCCAACTTTGCGTCGCGCCGGCCTGCATTGTGAAGCGATGGCATCCATGAGGTGCTCAAAAACTGGCAAGAACCCCGCAGTAACATTGCTGTACAATTTTGATCTTACACGCCTCTATAAAAAGAAAGCCTAATTTGAAAAATGTGACAGAACTTTCTCGCCAACCTAATATCTATAAAAACGCTGTCGTCCTCTATTCGGCTGTGGGAACCCATACAGAATTGACGATGTTCCAGAACTCCCCAGTGTGGCCTCATATAGAGCTCGTATTTCGTACATCCCTGTGGACTGCAAGAGGACTTCCAGAAACACAATGTTGAGATTCAACTGTGACAGGAAGCGGTTCGGCAAAGGACACTTCGACTACACCGATGTCGATCAGGTGAGTGCTGCTCTCATTTGTCCCTCAGCACCGCCAACCAACTCAAACTTACCCCTTCCTGTAGTATTTTCAGGCGACAGGAAGCGAACATCTAGAGAGTGACAACTTCTCATCGATGGAACGGGCGCTGGACGGCACATCTTTACTGAAGATTCCTCCTCTTGATCAGCCACTGGATGAGAAATGGGAGACGGTAGAGGGCGATTGGGTGATGGCTAATGTGTCCACCCTAAGCCATTTAGGTGACTTTCTAACACGTTTGCACTGGCTAGGAGTACATTTTGACAGTACATTTTGACCTAACTAGAAATTGTTTTAAAAAGCAACTTATGAGCCCACATATCGCTCAATCGGCAGTCTTTCTAGGCTCAGACATCCCGTTCCTGCCGTCGGCTCGCTTAGATGAAGCCACTATGTACATTACGCTAATCGACTGGAATACTGTGAAGACACGAATGCACGTCGCACACTTGTTCGTATTCATGGAAAGCAGTAAACACCTAGCGCATCCTTGTATGCAGGTGAGCACTTTACTCTGAGGGCAGCTGCACTCCATATCCTAGAAATGGGGAGTCGGGCTGCGTACTTCATTTAAAAGCATATGGCACGATAATCTGGTACTCGGCCTAAATGCTAACAGGGTGCTATGTGGTGAAAATGGCTAAAAACCGAAGTGAAACTGTTGACTGCGGAGAAAAGCTTTCGTTCTTCATGATCCGGGAAGCAATTTCCGATGAGTTCCCTGTAG